ATCATCACCCAGATAAGCAGAGATTACCACCAGACATACAATCAAGCAGGAAACAATACCTTAATCAAGGAACTACCAGAGGGAAAAACAAAACAAACACCCACACCCACACCAACACTGGCAGGGCATGCCACAGTATATAAACAGAGAGCAAACCCCATTCCATTCTAGCACTGAAGATGTAACCTAGACGGGTAACAAAACGTTTGCAAGAAAACAACTAAGCTCAGAGAACCCCAAGGACTCCACATTTCCTTTTCCCCACAACAGATATCACAGGGGACCATTAGCACTTCAAGACTGTAGCAGCCCAACCTGAGTTTTCTGACATGCATTACAAGCCCCTTCATGAAGACTATCTATCTATGTGGTCGCTAGGAGTTGATACATAAACAATCATGAGCCCCTATCTCTGTTTGTACTGATCCACAGCACAATCGTGCTTTGACCACACCAATTGTCCCCCTGTCCCCATGATGTTGCCCTTAGTTCATCTTCAACCCATGAGTGAGACAGCCTTACTAGTTATCATTAGCTCTACTGGTATAAAAGTAGCATTTCCCCATTTATCCTGGCACTTTTCAATTCATACTCAAGATGAATAAAACCTGATATGCTTTGTGACAGAATATCCTGGAGGGAAAGTCAGCTGAGCTGTGGTGGGTATAATTTGAGATGGGTTAGGAGTGCTGATGAGTGTTGGGAAGCTTAAGAATGTGTCTTTCCTTCTGGTCACTTGCTGGCTTCCCCTGTTGACCTTTCTCTTGCACCATTTGCTGTCTCCATTTGCACTTCATCTGTGGCATTCCTTTCATACCCTTCACTTCCTTCCCATTTTTGACACCAACTTCTCTCCAGACAAGAATCAAGATGAGAAAGGAGAGCAGGACAGACTTCAGTTAATTTATTTAGGGAAGAAGAGGGTGCATTTTTCATTATTTTCTTAACAGTGTTAATCTAATAATGATAATAATTTTTTAAATTTATATGCCACCCGACTCCCAGCAATTCTGGGCAGTTTACAATTGTTAAAACATTTAAAAAACAGAGAATACAAAAAACACAAAAACAGCACAAGACAAAGGAACAACAGAAATAGATCTCTAAAATGTTACATAGATTAATGCCAAGTTTCATTACAGTAGAATTGGTTGCACATTGATGCTGGGAGAGCAGACATCAGAACTGATGTGGGTGAAGGTAGCATGATAAAGTAGGTAGTGAACAGATAATTGAGGTTCTTGTATACTGTATTAAGAGGCGCAGAACTGAAGAAATAAGAGTCTGAGGAATAAGTCAAAAAAGTGAAGAGAAAATGTTGTCCATAAGAAAAATTCCATAGCCTGTTTAGGAGAACCCAAGGTTACAAAATAATATTCAAGCCTTTAAGTCTCCTGCCCACCCCCCAAAAGGTTGTCATGCAAGATGGTAAACAAAAAGAGAATGAGAAATCTGCATTTAGTCATAATCTTGAAATGAGGGAGGAGGTTGCAAACATGCAGGCATTCAAATTAAGTACCATGCAAAGATTTCATATTGCACCTGGGCCTAGCAAAGAAAACTAACAGTTTTCTTAAGTATAAAATGTTGCTAATACTCAGAACCGCTGACATTCTGCAATGAAATGCAAAGAATGCTTTGTAGATGGTAAACAGAAATAAAGGAGAACCACTTTTTCTATCAGAAGAACTTGAAATTTATATGCTCCACTAGCATATAATGTTAATATTACTTAGTAATTAGAAGGGATATTTTCACAAAAAATAAAGCCTCATCTTCAGCAATACTTTTCTTCTAATGTAGAACTGGTTAATACCTTGGTCATTAAAAAACCCAAAATTTTATTAAAAAGTATCTTTGTAAGTTCACAGAATAGTATGCAATGTTACAAACAACCTTTGTTTGATGAAGAGTTTTGGAGAACTCAAAAAGTTGCATTTTGTACCTTGGTTGGTTTACTGTGCTGAGTCATCATTTTTTAATAAATAACAAGTTGTTGGGTTCAATAAATTGCCATGAGTCCTGGTTTGCAAATCAGTGGCTGGTTACGCATAACACACTAACAAAAAACAAATGAAGTGTTTTATTATGATGTGAGAACCTAAGTTCTGAGTTAGCTTATTATACTAATGGATTTGGAGTTAACAGAGATTTTGGAATTTCACAGGTTTAAGTGAAATTAGAGGAAAATGTTACATATATGCCCCCCCAGTTGCTCCTACCAATTTTTTTTTTACCAATTTAATACCTTAAGATATAAATGTCATCTCTAGGCCTATATAAGTCTATTGTAAGGGGGAGCAGCAGTAGTAAATATTGTGAGAGTCAAACTACATGTGAAGAGAACTGTGAATGGATTTCCAAATGATTACTTTATTTATTAGATGTATATCATTTGTGCATGCCGTTTGACCCTAAATTAACAAGTGTAGACATCAAATTCCAAAGATGGCACTATAAAGGATAGATCATAATGTTATCCATATTTTTAGGATATTTATTCATGAAAACATTTAATTCTGAGATACACAACCTCTTAAATAATCACATGAAGCTTTGTCTAGGTCACCATCTGAAAATTATATCAAAACTCTTTATCAAAGCTGGATGTAGCATCCAATGTAGCTGTTGCAGAAAAATAATGTAAAAGGTATATCAATCTTGCTTCAAGTTCTCCATTATATATTTGAAAGAAATCAGTGGAATAGAAAAATGAAGAACAATTACTTTAATCACAATCTGAAATTTCATATAAACCTCAACCAATTATATAGAAATTTTATCAACAATATTTGACTAAATATGAAAACAGCAAAAAAAAAAAAATCCAGTGTAAAGCAAGCTTAAAATAAGGAAAATAAAAACTGAGACCAGGTTTTAATAAGTCAGCTTAAAATCAAATTTTATCTAAATAAAAGATTTGCCCCTTTAAACATCACAATGATCTTAAATTTGGCAAAATTTAGTAGTCAGTCCTCCAAACTGGGGGCCACTGGTAAGCATGCTTTTTCCTGCAGGGACGGCTGTCAAGCTCAGTCTTTTACCAGCTCCAAATTTAAGACATACTTTCTAATTACACTCCATTAAACACACAGGTGTGCAATTTCGTATAGGATCAAGTTCAGCGTCTGCATTAATCCAGTGGCTATGTTCGTACGACACCCTGAGTCATAAAGCTGCCAACTACATTTTAGGGTAGCGGTTGTTGGAAAGCCAGCCTGTGCGCGTGGTTAGTTGCGCAACCTCAGAAAAGACTGAATAAACAATGAACGTGGTTTAGCGGGTCGTGCGAACGCAGCCAACACAACCTACTCTCGTCTTTCCGCAGCTCCCTCCCTTCCTCCCCCACACCACAACCCCAAAGCTACGTGACTCCTCGGCGGAATCGGTTCAATCTTTCCTCTGCCACAGCCTGAAGCGAGGCGCCCGGAACTCTCTTTCCCTCCGCAGCCTCAGCCGCGCGCTGCGGAGCGGCTGCGTCTGGCTTGGGGCGGATCGAACCAACCAAGCGGGTCCCGTTCGCCTCGGGGTAGCAAATCCGGAGACTGCAAGAAGAAAACGAAACTATGTGTTGCAGTGACCGACTTCTGTCACGAGCGTCCCCGAGATTGGCTGAGACAAATTAGAAGGCGGAGAGAGCGAGAGCGAGAAGGGGCTGGTGGGAAGCTGTTTCCTAGGTAATCGCCACCGGCGACACCATTGCTTCCCCTCAGCGTGCGCCTGCGTTAGAGAGGGAAAGGGCTTCGTTTCCTCACGCAGCCTGAAGGTACCCGCGACCTGAGGCCCGGCAGGTGATGCGTGTTACTGGCGACGGGGCCGAACAGGAAAAGCTGCCGCCGCCGCCGCCGCCGCCTCGGCTTCAAGGAACAGGAAGCGGGGTCGAGTGCCGCCCCCGCCCGCTCGTGCTTGAGCAGGTAAGTATCGGAAACCCAGATGCGGGTGGCTGGGGAGTGAAATCACCCGAGCTGCGTGGGGAGAGGGGCAATCCGGGCGCCCTTCTTGCCGCCATGCCCAGTCTTCTCCAGCTCCAGCGGCGAAGGCAGTTCCGTGCTGAGAGGCGCTGCGGAACATGTGCGCGTTTGAAAAAGTCTGCCTACTCGGCTGCCCGGGGGCTCCCTGTCCAGACCACTGGCGTATGTTTACTGCTTGGCTGCAAGTCCCACAAACCGTCCAGAGAAACGAGATATAGCCAGAAAAAGAAAGAGAGAAAAACCATCACAAGGCGGTTTTCTATTGAGGTTTTATTCTGTCGTAGATGCATTGAGCTCAGAACGATTGTGGCGCTTTTGTTTGTGTGTATGTCTGTGTGTTCCTGCTCTCCTCTTCTTCTCCTCCCCAAATAATATTTAACTCTCTCGTGGAGCACAGTATTTTTGCATTTCTTCACTGTGAACATAGTAGAACGGTAGTAAGGAGATAAGGATGTGCGTCTTGTAACAATACTTTGCTTAATAAGCACCGAGTCAGACGGCTGCTGCCCTCTTTTTCAAGTGATCATGTGAAGTTTAGTCACCTCGCTATCAGTTGGGATGAACAAGAAGGATACAAAGAGAGCTGTGGTATGCTTTACAGAATTGCTAATGTTAAATACCTTGGGCTTTGTGAAAAAGATGTTATCAGTAATTTCCATCATTCTTTTTTGGCATGCCAAGTTCTGTATAATGCTAATCTTTGTTTGCGCCACAGCCCTGGAAGGGGGGACTCAACTGCTCCCCTTTTAATGATTAAAAATGATTTAATGATTAGTAAAAATTATTGTTTTTATTAGTATGGATACTACTGATATTATTTGGGAGGAGTTACTCCACATCAGAGTGCTATTGTGTGTGATTTTAAAATAGCTTTCATTTTATGATGTATTAATTTCCAGGATGTTTAGAACTGTTTTTACAAAAAGCTGTTCTCCAGCTGTTTCCAGTTTTTCTCTTTCCAGGAAGAGGTAACAATAGTTCCATAATTAAAAAGAAAAGAAATAGTCTAAAAACCTTTTGCGGCATTACATAAAAATTGCTGAAGTCTCACTAATCTTTTCTGCAGATAGATGAGCATTTACAGTGTTAGTTAAAATTACAGATTATTGCTGTATTCAACTGAACAGCTGACACAAACCCAGCCCTTCCTGTTGACAGACAGTTGGTATCTTTCTGGGTAATCCCTTTGAAATTCTTAAATGAGGAAGGGGAAGTTGCTTGGGTCGATTATGTTCTCTCTTTCCAAATCCTACTAAGAGCTCATTGCGATACTTCTCATTACAATATCAGAGCCTTGAGTAAATTAGTCATTTTTCTCAGAGGTTGTATATGGTTACTGAATTTGGGATGTCATTGAGCTACATGCCTTGCAGTTATGTACATTCTACATTAAAATAGTTTTTGATGATTGTTGGCAACTTATGTATAGTATTATATTTATGCATTTGTGTAATTTTTGGATGGTATTTTGTTTAATGCAAGGGTAGGGGACCTATTTAAATCAAGATACAGATTTATTAAGAGTAATTTTTCAGGGAGATTTTTGTTGGCAGTGGTGGAACCAGAGCACAGTTTGAGAGTCCTTTTGTTTCTCCTTTATTTTTCTTTCTTCCTCTGTTAAGATGGCTGCCTGATGAGGAATACTGTAGATCACTATTGTAGGCAGTCTAAACTGATTGTTTACAGGGGTATTTTTTCATTTTGGTTGTGGGTTTCAGGTTGGTTTAAGAAAAAACACTCACGAAACATGGTTACATTGCAAGTACATGAGTGTTATGTGAACAATATTAACTTTACATTGAACCTACCAGAAGAAATGCATGTTGCGGCTTGATGATCTCTTTCTTCATGGGATAATAGGAGACAGATTAATATAGTTTTAATAGTGTCAGCTATGGTGCCTGGAAGATAGGGAGATAATTGTCATAAAGAATAATGGTAGGTCTTCAGATATGCATTCTAGTCTTGCTTGAAAATTCAGGGATGTTTGTGCAGATCCAGAAAACCCTACTTTTATAAACTTGGTTTTGTAAGCCTATTTAAATATTGAATTGAGAATTCTCTCATATGACCACGTAAGGTAGTCCTTCCTTGCCAATAACACTTGAATGACATTAGCTTCCATGCTGAACCTGTCGGTGTTTGCGGGAAGCTGATGTAATTTGTGAAAGCCCATCACCTCTCTGGGTAATTAATTCCATGTCAAACTGCTCTATTAAGAGGAAAATGAAATTATTATTTCTGTGATTTGGAAATTGTGCTTCTGTTGATGCAGCTTAGAATTACGTTTGCATTTTTTGCAGACATATCACACCAGTGCCTTATAGTCAATGGGTAATCAAATACTATTCCAAGACTTTTTCACAAGTACCGTTTCCTAGTCAGTATCCCCATCCAATAAATGTGCATTTGATTTGTTACTTGAAAAAGGTATAATTAAATGTTATTTTGTTAGTTTCAGCTCATTTATCTAACTGCTCAAAATCATTTTGAATTTTATTTCTTTTAGAATATTTGTGCCATCAGCAAATTCAATAGGCCTTTCTTCTGTTTTGTTATTCAAGTCAAAAAATACTGAAAAATAGAGGACTGATTCTTGTAGCCTCCCACTTGATGCTTCTACCCAATTTGATGAGGTACCACTAGTGAGCACTTTGAGTATGAATTTTCATACCATGCAGCCCTCAGTTAACTAGCTTGCTAATCAGAGTGCCATCTGCTGTAAGGTGCTTTGCTGCAGCCAAAATTTATTTATTTATTTATTTGAAGCACTTATGACTGCCCAACTAAGACAACCTGACTCTGAGTGGTGTACAAACAAGGAATGAAAAAAAAAAAATCAACCAAGAATGCAAAAGACAACAGCACCATTAAAATGTACTAAGACAATAAAATGGTGATCAGAACTGAAATATACTGTAATTTTTCAAATTGGGAACTCTGCTTATCCTCACCCAAAGGTCCATGGAAAGAATCAGGTTTTAACTGCCTTTCTAAAAGCCTTGCAGGGGCTTGTATATTATCTCCACAGCATTCCTGCAATCTATTAAGTATGTTTCTTGTACAAAAATGAAATAAGATTAATTTGACAAGATCTGTCTTGATAAATCCATGCTAACTTCTGATAATTATATTGTTTTAAAGGGTTTGATCTCTATGATCCATTCTAGAATCTTCTTAAATATCAGTGTTATACTGAACTGTAATTTCAATTCAAAATCCAGTATTGAACTGGATCTTCCTATTTCCATGTGTTCAAGATAGGGGCATCTGGCACTTCACCAGTACTTGGGGATTTCAGAAAGATAATGTACAAGAATTCTGTGAGACGATTAATTTTTTCAATATCCTACAGCACAATTCATCTGGCCCTGAGTATTTAAGCTCAAAATAAAGTGACATTTTTCTATCAATCTGGAGCTTCGGTCCTGCTCTTCCCCCTCTCCTGGAACACACACTTTTTTCTTGGAATAGACTGAACCAAACTAGAAGTTTAGTAGCTGTGCCTTTTCTTTATTACCTGTTAGGTAACTTATTATGTAACCTTTGTTACCTATTCATTATTATAAACAGTCCCAAATTGTGGATGAATTAATTAAAAAGATTATAGGAAACATGCTAAAACAAAAATAAGAATTAAGTAATACACTAAAATGCTAAACTGTTAATACCTTAAGTAGCTGCAGTAGGATTACAGAGCCCCAAGGAAAGAAACCACACTATTAAGTCCTGTAGGGATTTTCCAGGAAATGCTAGCAGCCAGTGGGACTACTGTACAAAGCAATGGAAACATGCAGGATTCTAAATGAAGGCACACACATTCGCCTACCCTCACCCTCAATTGTATTATTATACTAAAATATTTCCTGCGCTTTTCAACCTTGTAATCCAATGATTTTGAAGAAATGGGGACCCTGCCCCCATTTTCACATGCATGCTTTTGTTTTGTTCTTCTAGTCTACAAATTGTCAATAGCAACAAAAAGATGAGAAATCTGAACATGGTATCAATGACTTGGTGTGAGAATAGTAACAAAACCACAGTGTTCAGATGATATTGTTTGCATCCCTATGTAATGCGTAATTATAGTTCAGAACTATCTTGGAGGACTAGAAAAGAGCTTATTTGAATTTGCATTCCACACTTGTTCCGTTTTCCTCTTGAACATCCAGTTACATTTTGCTTTAAGTAATTTCTGATTTGTTATATGCAAATAATGCATGATGTTATATTAAACTTAGTTAATTGCTAAACAAGTAACCAAATAGTCCAAACAACTTATCTTGTTTAGCTATTTATTAGGGTTTACTTTAAGCTACAAATACTTGCATTTATTTATTAATTTAGCTTATATGTAGCTCCATTTCCCAAGATGCAGAGTGGCTTACAATTAACAACATAAAACTAAAACTTAGAAAATCAGTAGCATAACCATAAGAGTAAGAAGGCTCTGATATGTCACCATTTGGACAGCAAAATATTCAGGCATCCCAAATACCTCTCTGAAGAGCAACATTTTTATAGCTCTTTGAAAATACAATAGGGAAGGGGTAGTCTGAATATCTGGTTTGAAAGGCAGGACACCATCACTAAAAAAGTTCAAGCACAAAGTTCCTGTAGATAACATTTCCTCAGGATTGGGACTTTCCACAAATCCTCTCTACATCTCACTATATGGGCAGAATCATTTCTGAGAAGGCTGTTGCGAAGATATCCAGGCCTTGAGCCATGTAGGGCTTTAAAGGTGATAACAGCACCCTGAATTGCACCCAGAAGCTGACTGGCAACCAGTGCAATTTCCACAGCAGTGGTTCTCCCATAACTACTCAAGCTGCTGTTTGCTAAACTAGCTGAAGCTTCTAGATAGTTTTCAGGGGCAGCTGCATGTAGTGTAAATTACAATCATCCAGAGCAAGGTGACAAGGCCATGCATACACAAAGTA